TAAAAATTTATTAACACTCGTTCTTTTAATGACCATATTTTAAGATTTATGTAACTTATGTATAATTAAACTAAATACGACTTTCAAAACAGGCGGTGACCCTCGTAAGAATTATTTTCGAACTAAAATTTCCTTAAATATTTTTCGTCTGACATTGTTATAAATATTTCAGGTAACTGATGAATTAAGTGGAAATTTATTTTTCAAACACGTGGCAACCATCCTAAATATAGTTCTGGAATAAAGGATTTTAAACAGATTTCCATTGATAGCCATCGTTTAGTAGTTCATTTAACTTATTTAATAATTTTAGTTTAGCTCTTTAAACTAGGGCAACCCTCAAACACATAACAAATGTTCTAAATTGTCAAACTAAGTATTTCTTGAAGCCCTTTCATTTGACATCCGTCGTTAATATTTCATATAACTTGGGTATTAAGTAGTTCAATTCGACTTCTCAAATAGGTGGCAACCCTTTTCAAAATATTTCCAAACTACTACCTTCTTAAACCTATAGCGTAAACGTATAGCGATTAACTTACCAAATTCCTTTAGTTAAAATCGAATTACATTTTTTTAACATGTGGCAACCCTCCTATAGTTATAAACCCTTACACTCTTACGTACACGTGCTAATCACATACATATAGAAATTATGAAAGAACATGTGAACGTACTTGGTTTATGTGATGTAATTTGATCGAAACAAAGTAATTTATTCTGTAGTGTGAACATAGTTTTAGTCAAAATGCAAACATTTGAAATCAGAATGCCTAGCATGATCTGGTATTCTCGTTTCAAGGAGCAAGCCAAACTTCTCCCAGTTCGCCTTACAAGGATTCCGACCTTTTGGCACTTGATCGATTGATCTGATAGAGATTCCTCTTCTAAGACCATCCATCCTTTGATATGATACGCCATAACTTCATTTGTGAAGGTTAAATCTATCACTCCTTGTCTTCTTCTGGTGGCAAACGTAAGTTTATTACCAATATTCTGTATTACCTAATCAGAGGACAGAATGTAGTCTAAAGCTTGTTCCCACGGAAGTTGTACTTCGTGCTACCTCATATAGTGTTTTTTGAGTTAGCGTCACAACCCACTATCAGGCCATAATTTCCCTCGAAGGAGGGGGACTATAGAATCGTATGGCAGGTAAGCGGAGGCTACAATGACCTCGGCGCGTTCCCCGTCCGTACAATACTTAATTTTTATCGCAACGACATCGTGCGGCTTTTCTGTCCCTCGAAATTGAAGGACGTTACCCCAGGAAATCCCTCCAAGTCAGCAGATACGCCCGCGGCATACCCATGGTTCCTGAATGAGGAATATTTGGGGGTTTATACACAGTTCCGCATGCCTACTATATAATAGGGTAGTAGACGATTGGCTATGCTGCAAATAAATTTGTCTACAAATTATTTCAGTTATGCCTAGAGGAGATAAAACCATAAACTACTTCTAACCTGTTTTTCCTTGCATATCCTGGACACGAAATTGCGTTCGTCCCACGTGTAGGTGAAAGCGATACTTCCAACGAGCCTTCGGCAATTCCCGCGATCAGGAAAGAGCCTTCTCCATCGCTGGAAGTCGATAGTCTCCTGGTGTATGAATAAATACGCCATTGGCTCATATTCAGCCCACGTTCTGCCTGCTGATATGTTTTAGATTCTCGTTTGGTTTCCAAGAAGGCCCCGGTATCCAGGCAGTGGCTCTCACCATTCTGCAACGGCTTCCATCTTTTAGGATGAATTTGCAGTTTTCGCAGGCTGGCATCCCTGCTATTATTTTGGCCAGCCACTCTCGGGAAAACTCATTAGAGCATTGTATCTTTACGATACTATCCTCCACGCGCATCCCCTCTAATTTCGGTTCGGCTGTTGTTACACCAATGGCTCTCCATAAATAGCTGTCGAGAAAGTCTCTTTACCCCTTGGACAAAGGCCTTTTCCCTTTGTCGGAATCTATCTCAACCATCATTGCTTCAGCAGCCACTCTTGCTAATGATGCAGAGCAGCATGGTTGAGTCTCACCCGATATTGGGGGTCCTTTAACAACCTCATTTGCATGAGGAGGTTGGCATGCAAGCAGTTGGATCGAGCGTGGAGGGATGTCCGATTCCGGTCCTGAGACTTTCATCTTCTTTGCCTTGCGACTCTTGTCTTCTGTTCACACAGACCCCTGATTGGCAACGGCAGAGAGTTGCATAATAGATGAGTCATCACCCGTCAAGTCCCGCTTCCCCGTTGTCGTTTCGGGTGCAGAGTTAGAGACCAAAGGATTTTAAGTACTCACCTTGTCTATAGCCGCAGCTTTCTACTCCTTTTGCGTCCTTCTCCTCAACTGCCTTACGGTCAGCTTTTTACCCGTTTGAGGATCACCAATACAGGATTTATCCGTACCGGTACTCTCCTGGACCATCTAGCATCTCCACATCTGTCACAACATTGGTTTTTCCAGAACGTATCGATGGTAGTTCGCCCTCTAACTAATTCATAAGTAGGCTCTCCATTGACAGAGAGAGAGAGAAAGAGGTTGCATTTTATCCTTACTGCCAGGGGTGAGCCTTTCAGAGGGTACTCTTCCCGTCGTCCTCCTACTTCCCGAGACGCACCGAATGGCATTCGGGATGCTCCAACCTAGCAACTCTTGGTCATCGTTCAAATGCAGCCCTAATCAAGGCGAGAGGGTCCAATTGGTGTGTACATGGACTCACACAGTTGTACCACTATCCGTTGAGAAGGTCTAATTAGTGATTCGACTGAACCCTCGCACCGCGCCAAGGTGCATGCCATCGCGATGGATATATTAACAATCTTTGCAAAATAGGGCAAAGAAATGTTTGGCAAATTATTTAATCCAAATTTGATAAAGCGAAAACATTCTACAAAAATACATGAACAGGAGTAATAAGAGAGAGGCATTTCTCTTTCTCTACAAAAAGGTATTCAAATGAGCGAAAAGTTCGTCATTTTTTGCATCGATCACAGCTGCATCAACGCTGATGACGTTGAATCAATACTTCCGGCAGCAAGAAAAAAAAACCAAAACAAACAGTCAGTAGCATTGCAACAGCGTCCAGCAATAAATAATTTAGTCAGCCAATAGCTGACCATTTGCTTAGTAAGATCAAGCAGATCGAGACCACCAAACAACCAAGAGCCAACTTACTCACCAAGCAAGCAAATTTCCGAAGTTCAGTTGCGATGCGGCGATCGCGCAAACTGGTTGATGGCAGAGCTTAAGCTTATTTCTTAAAAGTAAATGTAAATAAATATTTATGTATTTATATGTATATTAAATATATACATAATATTATGCCAAATATATTGCATTTACCGCAAGTGCTTGTCGTCTAACTAAATAGCAGTTAGTTGAGAGCGGTGCACGCGCGATCACAGCCTCAGTTCAACAACACAAAACGCCGTTCAACAGACTCACTATTAAAAAGCTGTCAACTTTAATACGAATACTACCGACATAAGTAGCTGACAGAGTTGTTATTGTCGTGTCATAGCTACATATTAAGTTTGTTGACATTTTTTCGCGTGTGTTTCCCCGCGGTGCCTTTGTATGGCTGGGATGTGCTAATTCGCGAGTACGTTCAAATATTATGAAAGAGTGAAAATTGAAGTGGAAGTACTGAGGTTAATCTTCAATTGTGTTATTCTTTTTATTACTGGTTCATCTACGAGCTTAGATGAGCAGGGCAGCGGTTAAATTTAATAATTTATACGCTAGTCGTGTCGTGCTGCGCTTAGCAGTGCTGGATGCTGTTTTTGTTTTAGTGATACTTGCTACAAATGGTAAGTGATAAATGGAGGGAAAAGATATTTATTTATTTTTTTTTATTCAGATAGAGTGAAAATACTTTTATAGAATCTTAAACCTTTCAAGAGCGAAAACAGAGGGGGAAGTCTTTTGAAAAATATTTACAATACATATGGGTCAATCCATGTCAAATCGACCACTGGTTAGAATTTACCATTTTCGATTCGAATATATTTTGGTAAGAGCTTTTCTTTAATTGTATAGCAAAGTGTAGCCAATGGAAAAAGAAATAAAAAAATTTCAAATGTAAACAAAGAAATAAAAAAAAAATTCAAAAATACAAAATTTAAAAACTTCCCAAATTTTGTATGTTATTTTTTTTAATGTCTCAAAAGCCATTATAGACAAGAATGGTTCTTGTCTCGTTTGAAAATTAATAATTGTGTTACATAAAAAATATATTTATTTAAAAAATCTAAAAGTGAAAAAGATTTAGGATTTCGAAATTTAAAAAAATCCTAAAAGCGAAAACCATGCAATATAAATTTCTGGCTAAATTTTTAAACTTAAAGAAAAAAATTGTATTTCAAACTGTAAATCAAATAAAAAATGTTTAAAATAATTTTATTTACAGGTAAATTCTTGCAACTATCTTGAAAGGTCTTTACTGTCTTTCGAAAGACTAATTGAAAGATCTGCTAATGAGCAGATCTTTTCGTTGCGCTGTTCGCCTTTTAGAAATAAGTTTTTTTTAAATTTAATTGATTTAAAGAAATATATATTTGTTT